TTGGCTCAAAGTTATGAAAAAATATGAATTTTCCAACACTTAGAAAAATTTCTAAGTTTTGGAATTTTGACTTTTCAAAGATGAAATTTGACTTTTTAATTTCTTGATGAACAAGTTTCACATTTTTACATGTCTTGATGAATTGTAATATTTGAAACTTGATTTTGATCAAAAAGTCAAACTTTGACTTTTCAGTGTACAGTTAACTGAAAATCAATTATTAATCAATTGGATTTAATAATTGTTTTGAGCCATACCATTAGATCAAAATGAATTATTTGAATCCTTGAGATCATGTCTTGAATCAACAAGTCAATTGTTAGGTCAAAAATCAGAAATTGAACCTTCCCAGTAAAAACCCTAATTTTGACCATTTTGCCCTTTTGATTATCTGATCAAATTTCTTGAGGAATTATGAACCAAACTTGATCAAATGACATATATGAGTTCATGATGTTGATATGGATCAAAAGTTATGAAATTTGATTGCAAATTGACCATATTTGACTTTTTCCCCAATATAATTGATTTTAGGTCAACTGATCAATTGACTGAGCAAAAATGTGATCCAAGACTTGAAACTTGACATGAGCAATATTGAGGGTACAAAATGATCCATGAAAGTCATATGGGGCATTAAAAGTCCATTTTTCCTTGTGAAAACTCAAACCCTAATTTGAGTCATCAATGCTCGAGGAGGTGCCTTGAGTTGATCAAACCTTGTGCAGTCTTGAATCAATGGAGATCTTGTGAGAGATTTCTTGAGAAATGAGAGGGAAAATTTTGGGGTACAATAGCTGCCCCTGTTCAATCTTCTTAAACCTGAAGAGTTATATTGGCGGATCCGCCATTCGTGACTTGAAGGTGGAAGATGATTGAACACTAGAGTGCCCAGAAATTTGCACTCGAAGATGTATTGGGAATGGGCTTATAGATGCCATTTGGAGGAATGATGGTAAATACTGGAATAAGTATCAGCACAAATCTTCGGTCGATCTATACTAAAACTTGATGTTTTACCTGTGAGATAAAAGGGTCAGTAAAATCCAGATGTATGCATGGCATTCTCAAGATGAATGAGATTGTGCTAAATGTGTTTCATATGCATATGCTATGATGTACGAATGTGGGATGCATGTTTGTCCGGGAAAATAAATCCCTGACTACTGCTGAGAAGTTCTGGGAAGCTGAATCCCGGATTGCTGTTGGGGATGCAAAATATACATATCTTTAAACTTTGTTGAAAGGATGCTTCTGCCGGGGATAATCTATTGAATGTTAATTGTTATCTGGTCGGATCCAGGCTTCACAACAATTTGCTGAGGATGAGGAAGTCAACTGCTATCTGGTCGGATCCAGACTTTACAATGACTTACTGGGGAAGAATAAATTAACTGTTATCTGGTCGGATCCAGGCTTTGTAGAAAATTTCTTGAAATTGAACTGTTATTTGGTCGGGTTCCAGGCTTCGCAGATCTTTGAGGTGGATGAAAATTAATTGTTATCTGGTTGGATCCATGATTCACAATAAACTTGTCTGAAGAGATAGAGTTGAACTGATATCTGGTCGAATCCAGGCTTTACAGTAACTTGAAGTGGTAACTACTATCTGGTCGGGTCCAGGCTTCATAGTTTTTCTTTGAAAAGTTATACTTATTATCTGGTCGGGTCCAGGATTCATAGTGTTTGAAAAGTTGTACTAAATATTTGGTCGGGTCCAGGCTTCATAGTATCTGAAAAGTTGTACTAAATATCTGGTCGGGTCCAGGTTTCATAGTATTTTGAAGGTTAACTATTATCTGGTCGGGTCCAGGCTTCACAGTATTTGAAAAGTTGTGCTAAATAGCCTATCGAAATATTTCGACACATATTCTCCACCACCATCAGTTCTCAAAACTTTGAGCTTTCGACCACTTTGTCTTTCGACCATAGACTTAAACTTGGCAAATACTTCGATCACTTCACTTTTCTTCTTGATCAAATAAGTCCACAACTTTCGACTGAAATCATCTATGAATGTAACAAAGTATTTGTTACCTCCCATTGAATCCACCTAGATTGGTCCACATACATCATAGTATATGACTTCAAGACTAGCCTTCAACCTGCTTCCTGCATCCTTGCTGAAGCTATTCTTGTGTTTCTTCGCCTGCACATATTCCTCACATACCTCGTTTGGAATGTCGATTTTTGGAAATCCTTAAACCATATTTCTTCTCTTCAAATCTCTGATGTCTCTGAAGTTGAGATAGCCTAGTCTATAATGCCATATCCATTCATCTCTGTTAGCTGCAGTCGAAAGGCACTTGTGCTCCATCACATTTAGTTCAATCTTGAAGGTTCGATTCTGAGACATAGGATCCTTCAAGATTAATCTCCCATTTGCATCAACGACTCTCATCATCTTATCTTCGATTGATACTTTATAATTCTTTTCTACCAATTGCCCTATACTGAGCAAATTGCTCTTCATGCCTGATATGTACAACACATTGGAGATTACTGAGCTTTTGCCATCTTTCCTCATAATCATAACATCACCAATACCTTCAGCTGCTAGGGTATTGTCATTTGCAAATTTTACCATATTTTTCATTGAGGGCTTTATATTGACAAACCAGTCTTTCCTTCCAGACATATGTGATGAGCATCCTGAGTCCAAGTATCATTGGTCCTTGAATCTATCTTCATCTTTTGTTGTGACCATCAACATCATCTCTTCTTCTTCATGTTTTGCAAGCTTTGCATCACTTTATTGATTCTTTCATTTTCTGGACAATCACTCGAATAATGTCCATATTTCTGACAATTGTAACATTGAATGTGACTCTTATCAGGTTTTCGACCACCACCTCTTCCTCTATTTGCAACACCACCTCTTTGGTTGCCTTGGTATGTCCTTCTTTGATTCGACACGTTTCCTTCGATCTGGTTTCCTCTACCATTCGATTTGTTGTAGTCACCTCTACCTCAGCCGAATCACTTTCCTTTGCCTTTGGTCTCTTTTGCTGAATGTGCCTGCAGGGCCACATCACTCTTCGATTTTCCTGCAGCTCTTTCGTTCATTCTTTGTTCATGAGATTCAAGCGTCCCTTAAACTCTTTCTTTGTCAATTTTGACAAGTCTTTTCCCTATTCTATCGCCACCACTATGTGGTCGAACTTAGGAGCTAAAGATCTCAAGATCTTAGAAACAACAACTCTTGTTGTTAACGTTTCTCCACATATCTTGATTTGATTTACTAGTTTTGTAACTCTAGTGAAGAAATCAAATATGCTTTCACTGTCTTCCATCTGAAGCAGTTCATACGTCCTTTTGTGAGTTTGTAACCTCACTTCTTTCACCTTCTCAGCGCCTCCAAAAGACTTCTCAAGGATCTCCCAAGCTTCTTTTGCAGATTTTGAATCAGTAACCTTTTCGAAATTGTCTGGGCTGACACATTGATGAATTATAAATAATGCTTTATAACTCAGCTTCTCAGATTCTGTGTATTTCTTCTTTTCTTCTTCTGAAACATTTTCTCCAAGCGCTTCGACTCCATCTTTTACAAGATCCCAAAGACCTTGACACCTGAATAAGACTTTCATCTGTTTGCACCAATTCTCACAGTTGTCAACTTTCAGAATTGGTAGGGTTGCTGGATAGTTTGCATTCCCATAACTTGTCATCGTGAATTCTTTAATCGTTCTTGATTGATACTTCCCTTGAATCGAAATAAAACTCTTGATACCAGATGTTGAAAATCCACCAAAGTCTATGATGAATTTCTACCACAATGACAGTTTAATTATGAGACAAACAAAGAAAAGAAGACAAGACAAATAATTTCTGTAGAGTTTCTCTCTGCTCACAAACTGTGAAAACTTTCTTATTCACTTTACAACTGCAAAATACTGTGAATGACTTGCTTGACTTGCTTATAAAAATAAGAGGTTACTCCCTCTATTTATAACTGAGCTTACACCCTAAGCCCAAAGCCCAAAATATCTATTTTGTTACTAAATCAAATCAAATCTATTCTAGACTTAAATCAAATCTATTTAAATCTAAAACAAATTAAATCTTTTCGACACTATGAATTACAATTTAACAAATCTATGGAACCACCATTGAAAAGTTATTGATCTCAATGTAAGAGACCCTTTTGAATTTGCAAGTTCGTGTAATAAAAATTATCAAACGTGTTTGGCGTTGTGGTGTCAAGTCTGTGAAAGTTTTTTTAGTTTAAATAGAAGTCAAGATGCATTTTAAAAGTAATACTCAAATATAGACAGTGGGACAGACATTAAGAAATAGTGAGAGTAAAAGATATCCCTAACTACGTGATAGAGCTACCATTTCTTTGGTTGTTAAACCTTTGTTCGCAAAAAACATTGATAAGATCATTTAGATTTGAATCAGGACTTGGTAAATTTGAGTTTGCAGAATTTAAACTTGCTGTGGTTGTGTCCCTTCTTTCCAATTGCACTCTCCAATTAGCTCCACTCAACTGAATTTTTTCAATTTTCTTTTTTTATAAAATTAATTAGTACCATTCCAATAAAATGAGATATCACATAATTAATAATAAGAGATCAATTTTATAATTCAAAAAATTCAAAAACAGATTCACCTTAACAAGAGTTCAAACACTGTCTTGTACGTAAAAGATATTTGATTTCTACTAGAAAAATAATAATTAATGTTAATACTTACGACAACCACAGAGTGTCTCTAGCAGCTACGGCAAAAATATCAACGCATGAGACAACACCGAGACAGATAGATTTGAGCTCAGATTTATGCTTTTATGAGACTAAAATAAAATAAAAATTTCCCCTTCGTAATTATTTTGACATCCTTCCACAATTTTCAACTTGATTATTATTATTTATGCATTATACGAGCTTACACAATAGTTTAAACAATTACAAACATTGAAATTGATACATATTAAAGTTCAAACACACAATAAAAGCACCCAAATGAACATACATTATATTCCCAAAAGGTCCAAAACCTCATGAATTGACAAACTTGCAATCAGTCCTAATCTGACCACTTGTCCCAGTAAGTGGATTAAGGCTCCCCATTTTGACCATTGCATTACCAAAATCAGTTGCAAAACTCGAAGCGTCGCTACTATATTGATCAACATCTGAGTCCGTTGAATCGCCATTGAAAAGCACTTGATCCGAGTGAAAGAGACCCTTTTGATCTTGCAAATTCTTGTAATAAGAGTTATCAAATGTGTTTGGTGTGGTGGTATCTATTGGTGATAAATTGTCGTCACCACCTGTAGTAGGACAATTTGCTTGCAATGATGTTGCAAAGTCGGGGTCTATGTTATCCTCGTTGTAAATCCTGTTTCTGAAGAATCTACAGCTTCCTTGACCAATTGTGTGAGATCCTGGCGTTTTTATTTTCATTCACAAAGTTAAGTTGCATGGTAAAACTAAAAAATTTACTATATTATCTATATTGAAATAGAAACACAACACTGAAAATAAACAAATTAAATATAATTACAAATATCAATGTTATTGTCTGTGTGTCAGTTTCTAACACCAACACTGTCACACTTTTTGTCCAGAAGTGTATGTGGAGTCTAGTATATATTAAACGGTGTTTCATGATTTAGTATGTATTTACCTGATAGAGCAACCATTTCTTTGGTAGTGAAGCCTTTGTTAGAAAAAGCATTAATAAGATCACTCAGATCTGAATCAGGACCAGGTAGATCTGAGTTAGCAGAACTCAAACTTGCTGTGGTTGAGTCTCTTCTCCCCAATTGTACATTCCAACTAGGTCCACCCAGCTGAAAATTTATTATTTTATTTTTGTAATATTAATTAGTACCAATCTAATAAAATGACTTTGTAATTTAAATGAACAAAATTCAAATTTATCGAAAACAATTTTATATCTTCTCAATGTGTTTTTTATATATAATAAAAATTATATAAAAATAGAAGACAAACAGATAATAAACTTTGTCGCTACTTACCGCAACAACAGAATCCCTTGCAGCTATAGCGATGATATCAGCGCAAGAGACAACACCAGGACACAAAGCTTCGACTTTAGATTTTATGGTGTCAATTACATTAAAACCTCTCAAGGAACCAGCATTTGGACCTGCTGTTTTTTCCCCTGTGAAACTTGATGTATCATCCAATAGTACTGATGCATCACAGCCCTAAAAAAAATCAAGCCAAAAGATTGATGAAGAAGATGAAATGATTATTAGTTTGTAGAAAAACAAACTAATTTTAGTAGTTGACTTTTGTTGCTTGTTGAATAAGAAATGTATTATTTTTTAATTTAAAAGAAATGTTCTTCTAAGTAAAAAGTAAAGAAATATATGCATGATTGGCTTGCTTTTATAAAATATTTATGTAATAAAATAAAATATTTATTTGAATGAGTAAGTCAAAGAACTTACTTTGACACGTTCTTAATATTAATCAAGGTTTATTATGTCTTCAAAGAATCAAAGTTAATATGACAAAATAAATAGGGAATATATTTTGCGCTTGTCATAGTTTGAGCTCCCAACTATATTTTAACTCAACTAATTGATATAAGTCAAGTTACTCCTATAAAAATCTCATTCATTAATGTATATTGAAATTTTGATTACAACAACAAATATATGATATATTACAAACATTTTTAATGTTTATTCAAATTTTGAATTCAACTCCTTTCCAAAACTCACCTAAAAAATCAATAAGCAATCTCATTCATTAATGAACAAGAGTAGCAATTCATATATTCTAAAAAAAATAGTATATATATATATATATATATATATATATATATATATATATATATATATATATATATATATATATATATATATATATATTATCTTTGGTATATTTTTATATAAAAACAAAAAGTCAACAGACCTAACTAATTACAAATATCATTTGAGATACTACATCTCTGTATCCTTTTTTTATAAGCACTATTTGAAATTTTCAAACATGATATTAAAAAATGAGTGTGTATTAAATTTTGTTCATTTTATCGATAGAATTTTAAGCATTTGATTAATGTAGTAAATTAAATTAGTATTTTTTGGTATAAAATATTAATATATTTTATAATAATTTTAAAAAATTAATATTCAGAAACAATTTTTTATCAAATAAAACTTATATTAGTTATATAAAAGTATAATTTTACTACTATAAATGAGCAAAGAATGATTTTTAATAATATTAAAATTGTGTTTCGAAGTGTAATCTTAATATATTATATTATTTATTAGTTATTAGTATAGATTGTTGTATGCATTTGAAATAATTTGATATATTTTGATATATAGTTGAGATGTATTAAAATATTTTTTTTGAACAAAACATAAAAAGACAATTATTTTTTCGAATAAAGGAATCTAGCTACACAAGACGTGCCAGAAATCGAAACTCACAAAAAGTTAGTTATCTCGATTCTTATTAATATCTCAATAAATATTAAATAGTTTTTAATTTTGTGAAAATTTAGCTAAATAAAATTTTAGGATGTTCTTGAAACCTCTCAAAATTGATTCAAAAGTGAACGGACTCTTACGATTTTTAATATAAAATATATAAACTTATTAAAAATCTATAAAAGAATACCTTTTTATACTATTCATATTAAAATTTCAATTTAACAAAAAATTTCTAATACGTGATTTTTATTATGAGTTGCTTTTATATTATTTTATTAATAATAAAAAATAAATCATGAATATGAAAAAGAGAAATTATATTAAAAAATTTTCTTTATTAATTATGCGAAAAATATAAATTAAAAGAATTATAAAATACTTAATGTCATAGTAGAAAAATATTATTATTAATTTATTGATATTATAAAACGATTTATAATTTATAAATATTGTATTCAAAATGAAATATAATAAAAAAGAGTGAAAATATAAAATTTATTTTGTTGTATAGATTCTGATTAAAGTGGTGTAACACGATGAAATTAATTATTTTTGATAAAAATATGAAGTAATTAAGATTCAGTTTATTTTGTAAAATCATTTATTATTTAATTTTAAAACCTTAATTTATTTTAATTTACTTTAAAAAAAAGATAAAATACTATATTATAAATAAAGAATTTATTTTAATTTACTAATGAAGATATGTTAGACTTTTTAATAAAATAATTGTGTAATTATTTTTGAAAATAGGAAAATATAAAAAAAAATGTTTTTTTATTAATACTTCATATTTTCTTCATTGCAATCATTCATTTTAAAAATCTCTTATCTTCTTAATAATAAATTAAAATAATTAGAAAATTTATAAAATGAAAATAAAAAAACGTTTTCAAAGTTAACATAGCCTAATTACTATATACAATTTTATGTGGAGTGCAATTTATGTATAACAGATGAAGAAAAAATAGAAAAGATAGAAGAAGAAGAAGAGGCTCAGTTACCTGAACAAAACAATCATGAAATTGAAGACGAAGCAATGATGCACCCATGCGAGCCTCAGTACTCACAGCAGAGTCTACTTCATTCTTAATGGTTACAAGAGCACCAGGACATGTTGTTGAGTAAAAATCAGTTGACAATTGGCATGAAACTATCCCAATAAAACTCAAAATTATAAAACAAATTTTCACAATTGGAAAAATTATTTTAGCCATGGTTGTGTTGATGAGAAGAATCTATATGATTCTATATTTGTGGTTCTATCTATAAATTTGTCACATATTTATATAGGAGTTCTACATTGTGATTTTCTTTGGTCAATATGTCACAAACATTTGTTTGAATTTTTATATATTGTCCATTTGGGTAAGTGATGTGATCTCCTTATATAAATTATATTTTCGTTTACTATTTCACAAAAAATCTTTAATTTATTATCTTGCATATCTTGTGTTTCATAGAAATTTCCTTAGAATATTTGTCAAGGAAGGAAAAAAAAAAATTGTGTTATGTAAAACGACAAGTAATATAGAGGAATACTTATTAGTACCGAATTAATTGATGTCATTGGGCCACCCACGAATAAACTGTTAGTGCAAATGCACTTGGTGAAGAGAAAGAGAATGTGGAAGATGTTGTTCAAGATGCCTTAGACATGTGAGAGAATAGTACTTGTTATTATTATTAGGAGTTATGTTTAATAAAACTCAATTCTACACTTATATACAAACTGTTTGTAATCCAAGTAACTAACTTAACCAACCCATAAAGTAACTAACTTTTAACTACTTAAATGGATTAACTACTTAACATATCCCCTTCTAATCCATTCTAAGTATTACAACAAATCAACAAAACATCAACGCAATCTAACTATCAACTTTCAATCTTTTGGTGAAGATGTCAACCAGTTGTGATTTATTTGAATAATGTCTTACTTTAACTTTTCGTTGAATCACCTACTCCCTCAAGAAATGATACATGGCTTCTACGTGCTTGCTCCTATCATGAAGAACACGATTCCTCATCAAATTAATAGCTGACCTGTAATCCAATTGAAAAACAAGTGGTTTCTAATTGTTACATTTAATCCTTCAGCACTTACTCAACACAGATTGTTTGACAAGCTGCATAAGATTCTACTATGTATTCAACTTCACATGAAGACAATGTTACACTTGCTTGCTTCCTTAAACGCCATGAGATTGGTGGTCCAAATAGAATAGGGAATTAAAGCGTCAGAATACCAGAGTCTTTTGGTGATTTCTTCCAGGGGAGTCTCTGAGACGTAGATTTGATTGTTGATAAAGAGTGGTTCATCAATATGAACAACAAATGGAGTATGCTTGGACGGAGCAATTTGGTGTCATTGTTAAGCTGGAGATCGCAGAAGGAAAATGAGCTAAAATGACAAAGAAATGGTGGAAAGCACTATTAGGATTCCCTACTAAAGCTTTCAGTAGTAAAGAAGAGGGAAGACGATAGAAGTTGAAGAAAGAAGAGCTTAAATAGAAAAAGTTTAAAGAGAAAAACGTTTAGTTTTTCCTCCAGAAACGAGGACAAGTGACATGTTAAGAGCCAATGAATAATATAGGGTTTTGGGGAAAAATTAAAATAAGCTTTTAATCCCATTGTTAGTGGCTAGTTTAGGACCTTGGACACCAGGATAATGATGAATATCCCGTTGCACGTTTTGAGACGTGACATTTTGGTGAAAAGTTAGTCATTATGACTGACAAAAGGATGGGTGAGATGACGTGTGCAGAATGTAGAAAATAGTGACAAAGTGGTTACAAAAAATACCACCTTTCTCTCACCTGAAGAAGGATCGAAAGTAGCATTTTTTGGGGGACATCTGTTACACTGAGATTTTCAGCTAAAGGAAAGTCAACGAAGAATGTCGCAATGAAGGTACATTCATGGGTAAGAGAAATTAATCAAGTGTTTAAGAATATTAATGTCAAGTTTCTTGAAGCTTTAACAATCTAACATCGATGGAGCATCGACCAGGGAACCAACTGATGTGGCAGTTATGGTTTGGAAGAATCACAAGAGCATATCCACGAGATTAGGATCATCCGTAAACATGCCTAAAATATTGAGAAGGGTAGTCGACATAAATTATGTGTCGACAATAATGGTAGTAGACAACCACAAAGAGTTTTAGAACTTAGCGAATTCTCCTAAATATAAGTGTCAAACGCAGATGACGTTGACAACATGTTAGCAGTTATTATCAAGAGTTAGTGGGGAATTTGGAGCAATTATCTCAACATGGGTTGTAAATAAGAAGTAGATCAAGGGTGACACGAGGATACGCTAATGGGAGACTGAAGGTTAAACGTGGGATGAAACATATCAGTCTTCTAAATGCTTAGAACTTTCATCGATAATTACTTGTAAATAGAATAATAGAAGACTCATACATTGTAACAAAGGTCTCAAAATTTCATACATTCTCTCCATACAACAGGAGTACCCCACTAATACATAAAATTCATATCAGAACGGTTAGAAAAGGGATACCACAAGGTTTGACCAACGATTGTGAAGTAAGGAGTGGTTGTATATATGACGCATATCACCATGGTCGCGCGACCGTTGTGGAAGTTAGGTAGCACCTAACTTATCATTATGGTTACCACAAAGAACTGTTGTGATATATATTTAGGTCATGGGTTTAAAACCCAACACTAGCAATTTATTTGGAATATAATTTACATTTCACCATGGTTAGAGATGATAACCATTGTGAAAAGTATCATGAGTTTATTATAAAATATGTAGATTGCTTGTTTTCCCTACAACTCATTAAACATATACAACCATTAAAATTGATGTAGCGGATAATGATTTGAAAAATTAAGTTATTTTTGAAAAAAAACTTAAACCAAACACTGTTTTTCAAATTGCATTCAAACTGTAATACATCTCTTGCTACTTAACACATAGTATTTGGTTCAATGACCAAAGTTTTTCAAAGATACGGTTCATTCCTAGTTTATTTTGCAAAACATCATTGACTATTTCATAATCATCATTACCGCTATCATCATCATTATTTTAATCGATGATGATGATTAGTATGATGACAACGATGAATATGATTCAGAATATCTCAACAAATTTGATGTTTTGCAATATAAATTAATAGATAACAAACTGTTGCTTTGAAGCACTTACGACAATAAACCAAGTTCTACGTGTTAAAAAGTGATAGATGAATTATGAGATACATGCAATTCGAAAAACATTGAATGATCCAAGTTGCATTTCAAATATCACTTAATTTTCAAATTATTATCTTCTAAATGAATGCATGTTCTATGAAGAGTTAGTGAAATAAATATTCTACATACATTATAATAAACTCAACAACAACAACAACATTTGTCAACAACAACATAGAACAATACAAACTATTTATGAACAACAACAACATACATCAATTATGACAACAATATACCTTTTCTTGAAAACTTTTGTGGAATGATCTAAAGTATATATGAATAAACTATTTGTATTGATATGAAGAAAAAATATAAGGAGGATGAAGCTGCAACAATAGCTTGATACTTCTTATATTGCTTCTTCATAGTAACAAAAATGTTAACAACTTTCAAAATAGAAACAACCATCAAAATGTTAACATGTGTTGAAAATATAAGCTAGCATTAACGACATCTTAACATAAATGAAAACATAATCCAAAAAGGTATGAAAAAACCTGTTTAAATAAGAACTACTGTCATACATGAAAAATATATGAAAAATGTAAGAAGATTAATGGAGAAGATTACCTTTTAGTCTGAAGAAAGTATTAAGGACGAGTTGACTACATTGAAATATATAGATGTTAGGATTTTGTTACAAAAAAGGAAGAAAACATATAAAAAATAAAGAAATATTATGAAGATGAACTTGACTATCTTTAAATTTGAAGATGCTATTAAGGACGAGTTCGCTGGATGTGGAAGAGAGCGTAGTCAGGGTTTTGTTAAGAGACTCGCGACTATTCTGATGAAAATGTTGATAACCTTGCTTATATATATATATATATATATATATATATATATATATATATATATATATATATATATATATATATATATATATATATATATATATATATATATATATATATATATATATATATATATATATATATATATATATATATATATATATATATATCACTACGGCTGTTAAAATAAACCGTGATAATATGAGTGTATTATTCAAAACGGTTGCTAGTATTAACTGTGATGGTAGGTATTTTTATTTTATTATATTTATAAGAGTATAATGACAATCCTTTTTTCTAACGAAAAAAGAGTGAAAATTGGTGGTGCTGAGAATCGAAGCATGTAAAATTTAATATATAACAATGGTTGTTATGAAGGACCGTGATAAAATATTTTTTAATAAAATATTAAAAAATTAAGGCGAGCGAATATCAACTACTACCACGGTTAATTAAGCGGCTCGAGTCAAAGAGCGAAATAGTTTGGGAGAAATATGCATGTGTCTGCGTCCAGTCTATTCATTATTTTCTTGTATCCTTAAATGAAGCATTTACTTTTTCAGTCTTAAGTTTCACCTTTGTTTAATGTCATTTACTGCACTTTATGTTCTTGTCATCTATTAAAATTTATCTCCATTTTAACTATGTATTTGCACTGTCTTCGTAAGAACGATTGCAATCTATTCGCACACACTTGTTTTCATACAAATTATTTGTACAAATTGCTTTGGAGATTTTTTGAGTTATTCTCACTAGTTTTTCAAACTCGTGATTGGTTACCAAAAACACCAGTAAACACCCCCTAAATCACTTCGTCCATTACAAGATCATGTGCTTGAGGAAATTGTTTCCAGTGATTTCTGGTAAACAACCGCTAGTCTTCCAAACTATCGAATAAACTTACTGACTGTTATTCAATTTCTTTGGTAACTCACAGGATCGACTAGATTGATCCTAGGATTCCTTGGTCATTAGGGTAACTCTCATGATCGAATAGATATTCATGGTTGGTATTTGAGTGTTGTATAGGTGTTTGGCTTATTTCGATTTCTCTCTTAAAGATCTAAAGGTGTAATCAAAATATGCGTGTGCGAAACTAAATTGCATGAATAAATGTTAATTGTAAAGACATGTAAAATTGCATAAAAGGCAAGTAAATGGCTTCGAATTATAAAAACAGTTAATGTAAAA